TTATAGAAAGAGCAAGAGGGCTGGTGAATATGAATATTTAGAAAGCAAAATAGTCCCTAAGGACCAAGGGTAGATAGAGGTCAACATCTCACCTTCTCCACAACTTGACAAATTCAGCTTTTACAAATTTAGTTTTTATTTGTATCAGTGTGATTTACATGCATAACTTAAAGAATCAAATAACTCAGTGATAAGAAGTACATTGAGTTCGTTTGGCTCGTGCTTTCCGTATTTGCCTCCATATCCTCTAAATAATATGCTTATAATATTCCTTCTTAATTTTTATTTTAGCTTAGATATTATAAATTAACTTCCCAGCATGGGAAATGAGGATTTAGCTGTCTTTCCTCCTCCGCTCCACTTAATCCAGACACGCTTTTGTTCGCCTGGTCCCACAAGATAGCTATGTTTTCACTGTGGCTCGGTTTTCAATATTTATATTACAATGATTATATAAGTGTTATTTGCAGTTGATTGTGTAGTATATTTCTGTCCCTGCACAGTTCACTCATTTTCCAAAAGATTTTTCTTTTGCTTAGTTTTTCTAATATATATCACTAATTTATCTCCAAATTCTTCCCAAGTAGTGAAAAACCGCCTTTTAATACATTCAAATACAGTAGGTAATTATTGATTTCGTCTTGAAGAAATACCCTCAGAGCCTCCTGAACTGGTCTTATGTAGACAGATTATTCTCTAGATCTCTTGGATGACTGACACTTGGAATCTTCATTTGCCATTATCTTGGGGACTCATTTGCCTGTATTCTGTGTTGGATCCACCGTTCCCTGGATTCCACTTTTGCCTTGGTTTTCTCCCTCTCAGTGTATGCTTTCTCAAATCGCTTCCTAAGTGAGGTTATATGATCTGTAATTTTTGAGAACTTTTAAGTTGAAAAAATTTTTATGTTACTATACCACTTAATGGATGACTTGGTCAGTTATAACTTTCTCAGCTTGAAGAATCCGTTTTGAATACATTGTTCAGTTTTCTCCTAGCTTTTAGGGATGCTTTGAAAAGTCTGTTACCTTTCTGGTTTTTGATTCTTTGTATGGAAATATCCTTTCTTCCCCTTTTTCTGAAAGACTTTAGAGATTTCTTTGTGCCCAATGATCTAAAGTTTTATGATGATGTGTTTTGATGTGGATCTATTTTCATTCATTGTGCTGAATCCATTTAATCTGAAAACTCCATCCTTCAATTCTGAACATTTTTTTCCATCTCTTTAATAATGTCTTACCCTCTGTTTTATAGATTCCCTTTTTTTCCTGCACTTTATAATTTCAGATGTTATACCTTCTGATATGGTTCATTTTTTTTTTCTATTTTACATCTTTTTTTGTATTTTTTTTCTGGGTTATTTCCTTGGATTTATCTGGAAATCCTCCCACTTAATGTTTTCACTTCAGCTCTCATTCTTAACCTTTCATCCAATGCTCCTTTCCTATATAATACCGTTCTTCTTTCATCAACACCAATTTTTCTCTCATCTCTTGGAGCATATTAATAATAGTTTTTAGAAATCTTCATGTCCATGCCTAGGCTGTTCTTTTCGGTCTCAGGATTTCAAAATACTTTCTTCAAATATCTCATATTTAAGTGTGGGGCACTAACAGCTCTGTGTACAGAGAGGACCGTCCATGGGCTTCAATATAGGATTATCTGGCTGGACCATTTCATATCCCAATGTCAGATTTTTTCCCCTGTGGAATGATTCCCCAGAAAAAGTCTCCTACAGCCTCTGCCTTAAGGGTGTGAGCCTGGATGCCCGCATCCCAGAGGTTGTGTGAGGAGAAAGTGTGAATATTTAATATGTGGTAGGTACACATTTCATTACCCCCTTTTTAATTCAATAACCCTTTTTAATTCAATAACCCCTTTTTAATTCAATAACCCCTTTTCATGGGGCATGGACCCACTTTTCAACTCTGCTCAGTATTCCACAATATCTTACCCTCTTAAGAGAAAGAAACCTCCAATATGCCAGGATAGTCACTTAGCTGCCTGGTAAAAGTTAAGGGGTCTCATATATTTCTAAATATACTTTCGATCAATTCTCTTACTTGGACCTCTCTTTTCAGAGGTACCTAATGCCACCCAGCCTGGGATTCTGCAGTGGCTTCTGAGTAAATATAGAAGTCTGTTTACTTTTTTTTGCTTAATTTGGCTTATATTTCTCTTGCTTATATTTGAATTATAAGATTTGGAATTATAATTATGCTTTACGGAGTCTACTAATTCAATTCCCATCTGCTTTCCATCTTCCAAAAAGCTCTGCTTTCTTCTGATTTCTTTATCCTTCTGGGTTTCTGCCTTTATTTTTTAGTCCTTAAACTATTGTTCAAATGGAGTTTTGAGACAGAAGTGGAGAAAAATGCATGTGTGCAATTCATGACCTTTAACTGAAAGTCTATATATTTACTTTTCAACATGATTTATCCTCAGTTGCATTCACTGTACAGTTTATTTTTCACCTTTGTATTATTCTTTGTCCATTCTTTGTCTTTTTTTTTTAACAGAGTCCCACTCTGTTGCCGAGGCTGGAGTGCAGTGGTGCAATCTCAGCTCACTGCAGCCTCCGCCTCCTGGGTTCAAGCGATTCTCCTGCCCCAGTCTCCCAAGTAGCTGGGACCACAGGCGCATTCCACCACCCTCAGCCAATTTTTGTACTTTTAGTAGAAATGGGGTTTCGCCATGTTGGCCAGACTGATCTTGAACTCCTGGCCTCAAATGATCCACCCACCTCAGCCTCCCAAAGTGCTGGGATTACAGATGCAAACCACTGCTCCCAACCTTTTTTTTTTTTTTTTTTTCATTCTTTGTCTTTAATGACTAATTAAACCTCATATACAAAATAGCTATTACTAGTCAGACCCTGTTCTTTGTGTTGTGGAAACAGCAATATAAGAATAGAACTCTCTCAGTAGATTTTGGTCATGATAAGAAGAAAGTCGTAAGATACTGTAAAGCAGTCATTCTACTGAACTTAAATATACTCTGATTTTTCTCTACTTTCCCATCACCCTTTTGGTTAAACTAAAATTGCCAAAATGTTTGTTTTTCTATATCTTTTAATGCCTACAACATAAAGATAGGTACTTTTATTTTCTAAATATTCTTATATTTTAGCTCCAATATTGATCAGCTTCTCTGCCATGCTTTTTCTTCCTCCACTTTATACATAATGGATCTTCTTGATTCTTTTTTCACAACACACACTTATCACGCACATAAGAACAGTCTGTTCTTATCTTTATTTCTGTAGTCCCTAGTTGTAACCAAAGATAAAAAGAGAAAGCCATTGCTCAGTGTAAGTGCTTGCTTTAGTAGGAAGGTGCATATGTAACCAATAGTTTTAAGATAGTATAGTATATGCACTAATAAATGTAATTAAAAATGATTTATTCCTTCTTCAGATCAAGGAAAACTGCCTGAAGATGTTTGCAGCTGAGCTATTTTGAAGAATAATTAGAAGTTGACCAGGCTCTTTCCATTATAATCTCACACACTCAAGTTGTCAGTTAGCTTCCTTATTATGCTATAAGCATATTAATGCAGGGAAAGTGTTTGTGTCACATCTTGAATACTTAATGTCTAGCATGGCACCTGGCACAGAGTAGAAGCTCAGTGAATAGTGAATGAGTTAGAGATACAGAAGAAACAGAAAGTTGAATCAAATCTGTATTGTTTTCAGAACTTTCCCTGAATTAAAAATAAGAAAAGCAATTGAATAACTTGATTTTCCTATGACATTTTTGATTAATTAGATATAGTTATTTACTGTTTTATTCTTTTCTAATGAAACAATATTTTTAAATTATATTTACTTTTCAAAACTACCTGACAAGGTCTAGTAGCTAGATTGAAATAGGCTGCACTTGATAAAACCTTGTAAGACACTCGATTATCTCTCTCCTTCCAAAAGGATCCAAATATTGTCGTTTTCAGTCAACTATTAGGTTGGTGCAAAAAAGTAATTGTGGTTTTTGCCATTACTTTTAATGGTACTTTTATATTTGTAGTCCCTTGTTGGAAACAAAGATAAAAATAGAAAGCCCTTGCTTGACAGAAGTGCTTGTTTTACTAGGAAAGTGAGTATGTAACTAATAATTTTAAGATCGTATAGCATAAGCACGGATAAATGCAATTAGTGAATGTTACTATGAAAGTAATCGCCATTACTTTTAATTGCAAAAAGCACAATTACTTTTTTGCACCAACCTAATAAAAATGTAGTGGCTTAATCTAAGATTCAGAACTGACCTCAGTGCGAAGGTTGAGAAATAACACCAGGGAAATAACACTAGAAATTGAGACTGTGGTATTCTGGGTAACTTAAAAAGAACCTGAGTTGGAAACCTTGGTTTCCTGGCTAATGAGATACATATAAGCAGAAAACAACTGCTGAGGTTGCTCATTTATAAAGAGAATTGTTGATCTGGAAGGAAGCTTCCTGTACACATTTATATTCATATTTGTATCCCAGATTTTTTGAAGACAACAGAAGCATCAGTTGAAGATTCCTAAATCCACATGAGACTCAGAATTGATGCATGCTGCTATACTGTTAATTTAAATATAATTATCTAAAACAAATGGTCAGCAGTCAATGGGACTCTGATGCCAACTTCTAATTCCTCCTTCTAGAAACTTTGAAGTGCTCCAAGTGCATTTAAGAAGAATAGTTTAGCTGGGCAAGGTGGCTCACGCCTGTAATCCCAGCATTTTGGGAGGCCGAGGCTGTTGAATCATGAGGTCAGGAGTTCAAGACCAGTCTGACCAATATGGTGAAACCCTATCTCTACTAAAAATACAAAAATTTGCGAAGGATGAGTGTGTCTGTAGTCCCAGCTACTCTGGAGGCTGAGGCAGGAGAATCACTTGAACCTGGGAGGTGGAGGTTGCAGTGAGCTGAGATGGTGCCACTGCACTTCAGCCTGGATGACAGAGCAAGACTCAGTCTCAAAAACAAACAAACAAACAAAAAGAATAGTTCTGTTAGCTTTGTGCAGTGGCGGTATCATAGCCAATGAGGTATATCCGAGGCACGATTATTGCTAATTGAAAACTTTTCCCGGTACCCGACAATGACAACTTGAAATGTAGTTGGCATTGGCAATTTTTGACAGTCTCTATGGAGACAGAATTTAAAAAAAAAAAAAAGAATAGTTCTGTTTAGGTTTAGCCAGGATTTTTCTCTTTCACACTATTAGGTCCTGATGATCCTCTTTTAAAGAGGTCAAAAAAAAAAAGTGTGCGTTCAGGCTCATAGGTGCCCCCTACGGGTGACACAGGCAGTCTCAACCTCACTGTAGACCCCATTAATCCCCCTTCACCACTTGGACTCCAAAGGTATTTAACTTTTTCATCTCTTATTATTGGACTATTTGACCCTTATGTTTTTATGATCTGCTTGATACCCAGGACATTCATTAATCATTCAATTTTAAAAAATAATTGTGTTTAACGACAAATTGTGTCATTGGTCAGCAGCATAAGCACAGCACACACTCCATAGCACAGTAGCCTGGGCGCCGGGTTTGAAGCCCAGCAACACACCTCAGAGACTTCAGGAGGTAGGTCAATTAGCTTCTGACTTCAGTTTTGTCTCAGAGCTTGGTATCATGTCTAATTTTTGTAAATCAGAAATAACACATCTTTGTAATTAAGAAAAAATTTGTGATTTTCAGTCTAATGTTTGTAATTCAGAAATGACACATCCAACCTGTCAGTTCTAAAGACTGAATGAAATTATTCACGGATATACCTATAGCACAGGTGGTAAATATTAATTCATTTTCTTTCTTTTTCCTCCTTCTGCTGTTGTTATCATCATTGTTATTGTCATTATTATATTATTTTGTCGTTGCCTTGTCCTAGGTATAGGAGCTCTAAAAAAATTGAACAAGACAAGATGTTTGAACTTGAAGAACTCACACTTCAGTAGTGAAGAGATACAGTGTAACAAGTGGAATAAGAGATTCATTTTAGGACTTATAGGAGCAAACTCATAGGAAAGGAAGGAAAAGTAGGAAGAGTCAGAGGAGCTACTGCCCAGATAATATCCCAGAATTGGAATCTTATAGGGTGTATGTGCTGGAGTCAATATCAGGCTTTTAAAATATGCTCAGTCTTGTGTCTGAGCTCATAGCTGAATGTCTTAAAAAACTGTTCTTATCTCAACATGTTAAAAGTAATATGTGTTATTTATAATGTTTATAAAAATATGTAGAAGTAAAAGAAGTAGAAAAACCAAGTTATGTTTTCCGCTCTTAGTGTTTAGTATATTCCTTTTCAGTTTTTTGTTTTCGGGCATGGTGTTTTTTGGTTTGGTTTGGGCCATATTTTATGAAAGAGCTGCTTTAAAATCCACTACCCCAGTCCACAGCTGGTGATCATAGAATGACTTGTTCCCTAGTGCCCTATCTCAGTTACCAGCAACAAAAAGAGGTGCTTTGGTGAAATAGTAACACTATCCCATTCCCATTTCCTGGCCAGCATACACAGGAAATACACATGGTGTGCCACTGGGCTATTACAAGAGATGAATGGGATCTGAGTGCTATGAACTGACTTTGCATAGTAGCAAGAGTTTGTGTCTAGAATCGGGGCTCCAAGTGCTTTCCTTCTACCTTGTTTTCCTTCTGTGGTCCTGGAGCCCATGACTAGAGTTATTTTTAAGGGGGGGGGGGAATATTTTAGCAATAATATAGTCAGCCCAAAAATGTAGACTAATTCCTACCTCTGTAATTTCCAAACAGACAGCTTTGAAAATATTTTTTTACCTAAGTACTAATGACCTCAAGGAAGGAAGGAGAAAAGGAAAAGATTAACTGAGCATTGACCACAGACTCCTCTTGTGCTGGCCCATTCACATGTTATCTCCTAGAACCCTCACCATAGTCCTGGAAGACAGACCCTGGATTATAGATGGGTCAACTGAGGCTCCAGAAGTTTAAATTTTTTAGAAGCCCATGTGACTAGAAAGTGGTACAATTGTGATTCCAACCCCCCCAGATAAGATCAAATTTCCCTAATAAACATTCCTGGAGTTGTGTTTGCTTCCACTTAGCCTATTTGGAAGATTAAATGTAATTGTATTGTTATTACTTGAAATTAATTAATCTCTTTCTTCCCTCCCTGAGGTCCTGAATTCTAATTTTAGCTGATTGACTGTTGTAAATCCAGCACAAAGTATGGAGTATGAAAAAAGAAAACACTAAAGCTCAGTAAATAGCTATTCAATATATGAATGACTAAGTGAGTAAAATCCGGGTGTCTTTCATTTCCAAATTAGAGATTTCCAAGTTCTTAGTACACTTCTTCAGTTCTCTGAAAACCGCATTTAAGCTGACTAGAGGTAGAATGTCATTCTAATACAAAGGGATAGTCAAGGTCTTCCTGTTTACATTTTATCCTCATTTAAGCTAGGAAACTGGAACTTTTCCCCAACTCTAATGAAGTTATAGAAAATAGAATTTGTGACAAAAATTGAGGGTGTTAAAATAATAAAATCTGGGTAGGACCAAAGGCAGCCCTTCAATACTCTTTTCTTCCAAATGTTAGAAGTGAGTATGACAGGAACATCTTCATTTAACTTCTAAATTTTCAATAGTCTTTTCTTCCTGAGATAGGGCAGAAGGAGAGAAATCAGAGATGGACACTGGATGAAGAACTTCAAGCCCCAGCCTAGGAGACCTGCAGATTTGTAGCACAAAGTATTTAGAAACATCTTCCTTCGACCAAAACACTGCCCTCTGAAGTGTTCACTTTTAAATGAATCTTGTATTTCAACAGAAGGCAAGTGATCCTTCACTCTGTGTTTGAAATTCCAGCAGTCAGTCAATGACACCCTGAAGTGAGGCCCACTTGCCGATGCAAATGAATCATTTTCACCCAGTATAGGCCAGTGTAGGGTAAACGCATCTGATAGCAATAACCTAGGCAAACCCTTAGACTGACCCTGTTTGGCAGACACACGTGAATGTGTATTTTGAGCTAGGGAATCTGGGAGTGGCCAACCCAAAGATTTATTTCTCGTCTATGAGAAACATCTGAGCCCCGCCCCTTCCTGTGGAACATGGGGCTGTAAGGGGATTGAGGCACTGAGTTTCGGATTAAGTAAAGGCTGCCAGGTGGAGGTCATTGTGGGGAGGGTGTTCAGTGAAAATGCTCTATCTATAAATTGGATGATGTTTGCAGGTGGTTGCAGTTTTTCTGCCCAGCCCACCGTCACTGGGCTATGCGGTTATCTTGTCCAACTTACACCACTGTGTTACAGGCAGAGGGGTCTTGACTCAAATTGTTCAGGTTCTTTGCATTTTGAACAAAGAATTGGGCAGAACACGTAGCAAAGCAAGAAAAGAATGAGACAATGAAAGAAGGAAAGCAAAGATTTATTGAATGTATACCCCACGGTGTGAGCGGCCCCATGCAGCGGCTCAAGGGCCGGGTTACCGAATCTTCTCGGGTCCAAATACTCTCTAGAGGTTTCTCATTGGCCACTTAATGCTCACCTCATGTAAATGAAATGGTGGCCGGCAATAGGTCTGATTGGGTACAGAAAGGAACCAGCCAGAGGCTGAAGTGGAATTACAAAGGGCACACTCCAGTGCAAACATCTGATTGGCTGCAAAAAGCAACCAATTAGAGGCTAAGGTGAAGTTACAAAGTTGTGCTTCTATGCAAAGGAAGACTCAGTCCACAGTAAGTCTGATTGGTTGTGCACAGCCAATTTCCCATCTGCCATGCAGAAAAGGTGGGGGATTTGCAAAGGGAGTAGCCTCTGGTCCTTTTGTTACTTGGGAGTGGAAAGTTAGGGTTTTCTTTTCGATTTAGTTCTAGGGAGTCAGCGTGAAACGGCCTGAGGTTCCCTGCCTCCAGAGCCTGTTCCCCTGCCTTAACTGGACTCTCTCGCCTGTATGTAAACCCCTAATGAAACTCCATGTCTTCTTTGCTGATTCTGGGTCTCTTCTTGGTCCTCTTGAACCCGGTGTCTTCCCTACTGAGGTTAATAGAAGTTCGGAGACAACACTCAGTTGCAGTCTTACATCCCTAACTCTCATCACAGAGCTCCCTAGGGGATCTCAGAAAGGAGCTCAACACAGGGCTCTGGAGGTGGGTCTTGGGAGGTCTTAAAACCATCCATCCCAAAAGTTTTCCCTCTCCCAGTTTTCTTTCTCTCCCCACTAAAATTATATTTCAGTGTAAGACTGTCTAGTGTACATTGCCCTTGGTTCCGTCCTTGTGTTTTGTTGGTGGTTTTGTTTGCTGTGAGTTTTTCTTTTAATTTTTACTGAACATGTACTTTGGCCAAATTCCATGTCAGATACTTTATATGGATTATTATTAATCATTATAATTCATTTCATCCAATGAAGTAATTCTATTACATTATTATCCCCAGCTTACAGAAGAGGAAACTGAGGTTTAGAGAAGTTACTTTGCTTGTCCAAATCAAATCATAAGGATTAGAAACTGAAATTGTCCACAGATGGCCATACATAGGAGCCCACGTTTTAAAGCCATGCATCGTATTCTGTCTCAGGGACTATTTCTCACCTACATGATAACAAATTTCCCCTGGCTGTCCTTCTTGATTCTAGTCCAGTCTCCAACACTCCATCCTTCATAGCAACCTCCAGTGTAACTTTTTAAAAACTTGACTTAGTGCTATTTAAATATAGGCTAACATAAAAGTAGCTATACACTCTTTACACTTGTGGCTCTCTTAAAACTATTAAACTCAAACTATAAAAATGATATAATTCAAATGGACAAAATAGATTTAATCAGTTAGATATGCTGAAAATGAATTATACAGTTGAAGTTTCACAACAAATTTCAGAGAGCTATATTTCACTTGATGTTGACTTGAACTTGATGATCCAGAGTGATTGTTTTCTTTTTTCAATTTTTTTCCAGACAGAGTCACACTCTGTTGCCTAGGCTGGAGTGCAGTGGCACAGTCTTTGCTCACTGCAGCCTTAACCTACCGAGCTCAAGCAATCTTACCATCTCAGCCTCCCAAGTACCCAGGACTACAGATATGTGCCATGATACTTGGCTAATTTTTGTATTTTTCATAAAGATGAGATTTTGCTATGTTGTACAGGCTAATCTCCTGGGCTCAAGCAATCCT